TCAGGAATTGTTCAGAACTCAGCTGGCCTGGAAAGGGTTGGGTTGGAGCTGAGCCTCCGCCCATTACTGATTTTCGTTGGAGAGTGGCTTTGATGCCACAGTGCAAACGCTGCTATGCAGCCAGGGCTGCTCGGTGTCACTTGGTTCCCTGATGTCTGCCGTTCTCGTCATTTTCTTCGTGCCTGTATAAATTAGATGTCGACTGCCTTAAAACCCTGTCAGACAGTCTGTGCTCCTTTTACCTGTGCAAGAGGGGTCTGCTCGTCTGTGAGTTTGGTCAGCAAGCAAGGTACTTTGGTAAGAGATGGAAGGAAAGAACTTTTTTTGAAAATGGAAAACTTGGCCGGGGATTTAGCTCAGTGGTTTCGCTGCCTGCTGCGCCAGCGCAAGGACCTGAGTTCAATCCCCGGTACCAAAAAAAAAAAAAAGAAAAGAAAATGGAAAACTTTGTAAAACAAAACTATAAAACACTTGACAAAAATATTTTAAAAACTAATATACCCCATGCACATTTGAAACAGGAAGCAGGAATTTCATAGGCCTGTTTTGGCCCCCTCTTGGCCAGAAGACAATGTGTAACCCACTAACCACAGTAGCGCTCCCAGGGAGACACTGGCTATGGGGGACCATGGCCTCGTCCTGGTATTCTGCAGACACAGGGGAGCCTGGGGGAAGTTCGCATTTCTTGGAGGACAGAGGTTGTTGGAGGACCGGAGGATAGAAGCTCAGTCCATGCTGGTCCCCCACAGGGAGGGCAGTTCCACACAGCGCTCCAGCTCAGGGCTGGCTGCCTCCTAAGTGTGAGCTGTTCTCTCCGAGGCCTTGAGACCAACCTGGCAACCTATGTGCCTCACCAGGCAGGGGACAGCGCAGCTGTTAGGGCACAGGCAGTTGGATGGAGTGATCGTCACAGTGGCCCAGCCTTTAGAGTTTCTGATTCCACCTGACATTGTTTTTCTGTTTTTGTGATGAAACTCACAGAGAGGTCCCTTCCTATCCGTATGGTCCTGATCAGCAGGAGCCCTTATCCCCCTTCCTATCCGTATGGTCCTGATCAGCAGGAGCCCTTATCCCCATCCTTGCCTTTGCTCCCTGTTCTGGACCTGTTTGGATCCTTCTGGAACTCCAGGTCTCTGTAGCTCTGCCCTTGTGACTTTGTGCCTTAAGTTGCACAGGGAGCTCCAGGTAAGTGTGGGGTTAGACGTTACTTGTCACCCTGAGTTGGCCATTGCACAGTCAGCTTTTTCTTGGATTTATTTTATCTGCAGGAGATTTTCATTGTCTTTCTGAATTTTTGGACCATACTTTTCTACTTCAGACAGTCATTTTATGTTTACTTTATGTAATATTTATTTGTTTCTGGGATGGAACTGAGGACCTCGCCCTTGCCAGACAGGTGCTATGCTGCTGAGCCACTTCCCCAGCCCTACCTTATGTGATCTTCTATAGAGACAGTCCTTACTGGATTAAAAAGTCCATGAAACTCTTTGCTCTTGCAGAAACTGGTCCCATCTCACCTTTTTAAGTCAGTGTACAATTTTTCAGGAAAGCAGCCCTTTCTGAAAGACTGCAAATTGTTTTTTTAAAAAGAGTGCCAGAGTGTTTGGAAAAGTGTGAGTCCAGGTCCAGGTGTTTCTGCCTAACAGAGGAAAACATCTGTCATAATATTTGGCAGATTGCAGAGCCGAGGCTGTGTGAGGTTGGGTGGCTTCCAAGCTGAACAGGCTAGAAGTTGATGGGAATGGAATCTGGGCCTCCTGGTTCTGCCCCAGAGATAAGGCCGCCCTGCCCCTAAGATTGCCCTTTGACTCCACTCACTGCAAAGGCCCAGCTATAAGAAACATGGCTGGTTTCTTAGGAGCTCTGGGGTAAACAGTCTTCAGAGTAGGCCTGCTTGGATTTGAGCACCCGGACTTAGCACCACATGGCAGTAAGTGGGTGAGTCACCGGAGCCACCCACTGCAGAGAAACAGCACAGGATTTATTCCCAGGCTGCTCTGCTCTGAGGTGACCCAGCTCTCTCTGAAGGGACCTAACACAAGAAAGGGAAAGGAAAGGTAAAGCATGGGCAAATAACTTAATTCTAAAGTGCTGGCCAGTGGCCGGCCGTCTGCTGGTTAAAGACTGGGGATCCTGGCTCTGACATCTCAGTGCATTTCTGATACTCAAGGGACAGCGCTAATATTTTTTGATTTGCTGGTCTTACAGAAAGTATGACTTTCTTTAATAAGTTTCCCTTGTCCCCCTTGAGAAGAGCAGAGTTACCCCTCTTTGGGAGTTCTGTGTCCAGCCCTCACTTCTTTGCCCAGTGCAGCCACATCCAAGTCCTGTGACCTTGGGCAAGGTCCCCCAGCCTCTGTGATGTGGCATATATATCCATCCATTCCCCCCCCCGGTGGAGCTTCCCTGGTTGAGTTAGACCAGCCCAGCAGTTGGCTAAAACACCTTGGGCTGGGCTGGGCTGGGCTGGGCTGGGCTGGGCACATAGCAGACATTCCATAGATGCTAATGACAGTGGTCACCTCCTTCTGAAGCCCTTGCTGAAGAACAAGTATGTGTCATGGCTGTGGCCATCCCTCCTGCCTGCCAGCTGTGTTGCCTGTCTGCAGTGGGAGGAGGGGAGGGAGCCCCAGTGAAGTAGAATCCCCCCGCCCCAGGATGCCTATAGAAGCCCAAGAATGGAAGAGAGAGGCAGGCATGAGCTGCCACCTGGGGGAAGTTACCTGGGTGGTGTTCTGGCTGAGGCTGAGGCCTCACCGAGTCACGCTGGGAACCCCAGGCGTGAGGGGAAGGAGGCTTGCCCACCCCCACCCACCCCCACAGGAGCCCATTGCTGTCCTGTGCAGTGCAGTGGCCTTTTAGTTTCAGGCTTTGTAGTGTTTTCCTGATTGTTTTTGGTTTACGTTAATTTGTTTTGTTCTCTGGTGCTGGGGATTGAAGCCAGCAAGCACTGAGCTATATCCCCAGCCCTTTTCATTTTTATTCTGAGAGGTGTGCCTCAAATTTGAGATCTTCTGCCTCAGCCTGCTGAGTACTGGAATTGCAGGTGTGGGCCACCATGCCTAGCTTCCCTGGCTTTTCGGTGTATCCTTTCAGTAAGCCCACCCTGGAGCTGTGGAAGTACCGGTTTGCATGTGGCCAGACCATCTTCCTCATCCATTCCTCTCCCATACTTGTGAATATACCAGAGGGGAAATGACAGAAATTGGCACCAAAAGACCTAATTCATACATGAAAAGCGTTTTCAGCATGGCTTCTTTTGTTTACCTTTTTAGTGCATCCTAGGATGTGGGGAGACTGGGAGAGGATTTTGGTCTCCTTGCCACCGACCAGGGCACTGACCCAGATAATTCAGGGCTTTGTTGGGACTGGGGTGAGAAATAGCGGCCATGGTGTCGGAGTGGTGGCTGTGTGCTTTGGAGTCCCCTGGGCTGTGTCTCTGGGCAGTGCTCACCCAGCCCCTCAGGTCAGTTGCTCACTAGTCCATCAGTGACCAGAGAGGTCTGGCTTTTGGAGCCCAGCATTCCTCGGGGAGCAAGCATGGCTTAGACAGAGCTCATCCCTCCCCATTTTGATATGTACTACTGAGGACAGAGTTTCGGGGGGGTGAGATAGCCTGGCATTACCATGGGCCTGCAGGTCCTGGAAATGGAATTATATTCACCTTTCCCACCCCCACCCTCCACCTCCCCCTGAGGATCAAACTCAGGACGTTCCGCTTGGGAGGCAGGCATGATGCCACTGAGCTAAATCCCTAGCCTTCACTTTCCCATCTCACAGTAAATCATCGGCATTTCTCACATCATAACTAATTTTTCTTTTTTAAATGACTAATATTTTTGTTTGAAGAATCTAGTTAGATCTTAAATTGAGAGAGTTGTGGGTGAAGGCACAATATTCTTAGATTTAATGGCTACAACTATGCAGACGATCTCATTTAAGAATATTTAAATGTAGCCTGCTTCTGTGGCTCCTGATCAACCCCTTTTGTTTTCTTTGGATACATGGGGCTTCCCTTTCCGCACACCTTTCAGGAAGATGACCTGAGGATGTAGCAGCTTCCTGGTTTTGTACCATCGCGTAAGGCCTTCTCCTTTTCCCTTGACCTCTGTTGTTGCCTTAAGATGATAAACACTAGGTTACACATGGCACTTGGTTTTTTCCCCTGGCAGTACGAAAGCATCTGTACTTTGCCAAGATCATGAGGTAAGGAATCTACCATGTAACACATTGGATCCGGAACCAGAGTTCCAGCGTTGGCAGAGCATCAGGCTGCAGTCCTGGCCCACTTCTCGGGGCACCTTGTACTCTAGAATTGCACAGGAGACTTTCCTGCCTGCCACATTTGGTTTGCTCTTAGCTGTGTGCAATGGATTAACAGTCCATCAGGGAGGATTATGACTGGACCAACATCCGAAGCAGCCTTGTTTTGCTCTCTGCCACTTTCAAGCAATCCAGTTGGGGGTGGGCAGGAGGGGAAGGGAGGCAGTGATTGTCCTAAAAGCACCCTGGTGAGGAAAGAGGAGGCAGATCAGCTGGAGGTAAACTGTGGGATAATTCCCAGCTGCAGATGGGAGGCCCGGATGGAGCAGGCAGCCGGCTTCATCCTTCTAAGGAGATGTCACATGGAACAAAAGCTTTGGGGGTTTTATTTAGCTCTTAATCCGCATGCTGAGGGAGCTGAGGTCCATGTGAGCACAGCAGCCAGGCAGGAGGACCGGCAGGACAGCCTCCTTTCTGGAATGGAGCTGCACAGGACAGACCTCCGAGTTACTGTTGGGGGACTGAGGAGGCAAAGTTACCGTGAGTCTGCTGTTTAGCCTACTAGGGTTTCAGAGGATTAATAATTTAGGCTGCACTTTGAAATAGAAACCCCACTTGGCTGTGCCTGCCATCTCGGAAGGGTTCGTATACAGCTCGGTCTGGTTGTGATGTATGTAATTGAAGATTTATGAAGAAAGCCTTCCTCCCCTGCTCGCCTGCAGTTATTTGTTCTGCCGATGCCGGTTCCCAGCAGGCATATCAACATTGGCCGTTCACAGAGCTGGGATGCTGCTGGCTGGTACGAGGGCCCTTGGGAGAATGCTGAGGCTCCGCCACCCCCGGGGAGGAGAAGCTCTCTGACGTATGGCTCCGGTGAGGGGACTTGGTGTGAGCTGCCTAACCACCAAGCACAGGACACCGCCTTGCCCGGGGCCCCTGAGCCCTACCTGTATCGAGAGGCTTTTTACAATTCGTTGGCTGCCAGGAAGGGCTCTGCTGCCGAGTTCACTTTCTACAACAGCAGACGGGCTGTGATGTCTGGCCAAAGCGCCCTCCTGCCACAGGATTACTACGGTGACCCATCCAGAGGCACGAGGGTACCCAAGGAGCCTCCCTACTATCAGGACCCAGGAGTCAGCCAGCTAGTGCCCAGCTACGGAATGCTTGGCAGCAGAGTGCCGTGGGAGCACATGCAAGGCCAGCTACCTGCCCTGCAGGACACCAGCCACCTATACCAGGATCCTGGGGGCAAAATGATCCCTCAGGGCCAGCGGAGTAAGGGCAGGGCACCATCTCCCGGGTGTTATGGAAGGGAACTGGCCAACGCCAGGTTTGGCGAAGAAACACCTGCCTACCCATCCAGTCAGGTGTACAGTGATGTTGGTGAGAGACTTGTCGATTCCAACCCTGCCAGACAGGCGGCCCCGACATGCCTGGTTGTGGACCCTGGCTCAGCTGCTCCCCCTGAGAGCACCACAGGAGTGGCCCCCAGGTCCCTGAGTCGAGGCTACTGGCCTCCCCGAGAAAATTTCCATTCTAAGATGGCTTTTGAGAATTATGAGACTGACCTGCCTGCGTTCCAGGGACCTGATAATAAGAGGAGCGTGCTCCCTGAGTTCCTGGCACTGCTGCGGGCAGAGGGTGTTGCAGAGGCCACTCTAGCGGCCCTCCTGCAGCAAGGCTTCGACTCCCCAGCTGCCCTGGCCACTCTGGAGGATGCAGATGTCAAGTCTGTTGCACCCAACCTTGGCCAGGCCCGCGTCCTGAGCCGCCTGGTCCTCAGCTGCAGGACCGAGATGCAGCTTCGGAGGCAGAGTGGGGCAGGTCCCCTGCCCCGCACACGGTCCAGCAGTTTCAGCCATCGGAGTGAGCTGCTGCCCAGTGACTTGGCTTCTCTGGGTGCCACAGCCCTGCAGCCCCAGCCTGTGGGGCCCCTGCAGATGGCCTCCCCCCAAACTGGAGACATGGCTCGGCGCCCTTCTAGTGCACCCTCCCAGCACCTCCTGGAGACAGCCACCTATTCTGCCCCGGGAGTGGGCCCCCAAGCCCCTCACCTCCCTTCCAACTCTGGGTATAGCTCTCCCACCCCTTGTGCCCTCACGGCACGCCTGGGCCCCTCTTCTCAGCAGGCTCGGGTGACCTTGACGAACCCAGGCCCCAGAACAGCCTACTCCACCTCGTACACTGTGCCTATGGAGCTGCTAAAGCGGGAGCGCAGTGTGGTTGCTTCTCCACTGCCCAGCCCCCATGGCAGCCCCCAACTCCTGCGGAAGCCTGGAGTCCCTGTGGAACCATCTGTCCTGCCATCGGTCAGCCAAAGCCTCCATACACCACATTCACCGCATCGGAAGGTGGCCCGGCGCACAGGGGCGCCCATCATCGTGTCTGCCATGCTTGGACCAGAGCCAAGTAACATACCCTACCCACCTTCCCCACCTGGGGACCTTGGGGAGGGCGTGCCTGGGCCGGGTTGCAGAGGTTTGAGGGTGGGGTATTAAGTCCCCACTGGCCCGCTTAGGAAGCAGGCAAGCACATACTCTGCCACATGAGAAGGCCACCGTGCTGTGCCAGCTCCCGGGCTAGCCAGTGGACACAAGTTGTCCTGGGTTCAACAGACTTACATATCATGCTGACCCACGTTGGTTTGTGGGTGCCCCTTTATGGTGCTGAGATGCGGCTGTTTCCTGGAGAGATTCAAGTCCTCCAAAACAGACCTTCAGCACACCAGGGGTGGTGATTCCTCAGGTCAGTTTGGGTAGCTTTGGAGAAGGCAGGAGTGTTTGATCAGACACCTTCCCTGAATTGTGCATGGTGCGTTTGCTGTTCGAGGTACCTCACTGTGCGGAAGCATACCTCTGCAGGGCCTGTGTACAGTATCAAAGGCAGGCCTTAACTACAGTGGAGATAAGAATGTGTGTGCTGCCACATTTGTGGGCTAAACAAAGCAAGATGTTGGAATCCCTCAGAACTCCTTGTTTCAAAAACCGATTTAGTGTCAGTTTGGAAAATGCAGTTGGGGATTCTGCTTGCTTATAGGAAAGGATACAGTTCCAAGTTGAGGAAGGGAGATAGATACTAGATGGCTTTCTGCAAAGCATGAGCCAAACTGTGGCTGATTGCGTATGTTTCCTTGGACATTGGGGTTAAACTTCGTGGTCAGCATCCTCCGAGCAATTAGAATTTTTATTGTAACTGTATAGTCTTGACTAAAAACAAAATGTAAATCAGTCTTCTTCCTTTACCTCCCCGTCATAGTTTATAGAAGTAAATCCTTTTTGTATAATTTTTTTTTCTGAATAGCCAGTGTTATGAGGGGCTATACTGATGACGAAATAAGATCTCTTTGACCATGCCCCTGAGGTAACTTCGATAGGTGTCCAGAGAGCTTTGTGGATCCCTGCCATAAAGCCGGCATTGTCTATGGGAAGGTGGAGCTGCTAGGAACTGTCATGGCCTCTGTTGCGTCACAGAATCAACCTTCAGGCACCTATTTCTTCTACTGCCTGATTTTTTTCTGTTTTCTGTTGCTCCAGATTCTTGTTTTGTCTCATTGATTTTTTTTAAAAGTCCGATCGTATACTTTATTTGACTTTTGCAAATCAATGTGCAAGAGGAGGGCATTCAGAGAAATTTCTGGGGGGCTGTGCCTTCTCTTCTCTCACAGCCAAACACTCTTTCTTTGCAACCAACTAATTTGCATGACGATGACATTTGTTGCTCCAGTAATTTCATCTGATAATAGCTGGGCTTGCAAAGCGGATCTGAAAACATATTCCTTAATTATGTGTTGCTAAGCAACAGGAGGGTTTGGTCATAATCACAGAAAGATTATCTCCTCATTGAAGTCGGGGAAAGGTTTTGCGGAAGGAGGACCTGCAAAACTGCCTCCCCCCCCCCCCCCCCCCCGTTTTATTTTGCACAGCCTTCTAACAAAAACATTCCCTGTTATTTGGGTATGGGGTGAGGGATATTATATAAGTTGCTTGGAGTGTGGTTGTTGTTAACACACTGTTTTGCAAACCCGAGGATACTGATTTTTATTTTATTTGCATGGCAGTGAGCCAGTGCTAAGGAAGGCTCTAGTCAGAAGTCTGCCAGCAAATGAATTTCCCTGTCAAATGATCTGTCCGGTAACAGCAGCTGTCATCCTCATTCCTTACTGCACATTTCATGCGGCATTGTAACCATGCCCTGTCTGTGCCGGGGTCAGCGGCTTGGCTTCCCAGGTAGGTTGTAGGCTCTATGGAAGGGTTTTAGAATCTGGCTAGATTTGGATTGGTTGCAAGCACAGGGGGTCTAGAGGTATGTCTGTAGGCGTTGTTCCTGGAAGAGTTTCTAAGCCCCAGGGAGGCTAATGTCTGCATTTGAGGAAAGCACCCAGACCTGAGGCCATGCCGAGCAGCTTACCTCACTTTTGAGCCGGGAGATGCCAATCTCAAATCTTAATCCAGCTATGTTGCTCCTATGGGTCTCCTCCAGCTTGAGTACATCTCTGTTGTAGTTTAACCGAACTCCAGTGTTGCCACACAGTTTGGAGGGACCAGGAACGCCTAGATGCCAGCTCTCTTCCGCACTTCTGGCGACTTGACATCATGTTGGAGTATTTACAGTGGAATCGCTTGGGAGAATTTTTGTTTGTATCTAGTTTTATTTTTCCATGCTCTGGATACTGTAACACTTGCTTCATCTTGGTTGGTTTTGTGCATGTAAGTGATAGGCTTCTATTTGCCAGTATCTTCCAGCCCACTCACTAGGCCGTTCAGAGCATCAAGGCAAGGCCAGCAGATGTGCAGGATTAATGGGCCTCTGGTCAGAGCAGTGGCACCTGCTGGGTCTGTTCTCCCTCCTTCACTGACCTGGCCAACTGTGGCACGAGCCACGGGGTCTTCAGCAGTAACTATCACATGTTGTCACCTGTGGCCAAGGGTTTGCTGCTGCCTGATAATCCATGTGCCTGATGCCAAAGGGTGCATTGTGTAAACACCAGTGCTGCAGCCGCTTCAGGTGTATGTTTTCCCAAAATACAGCAATGCACAGATCGTGCAGCAGGCTCATCCATATTCAGTTTCCCACATGAGCAATGGCAGTTCCCACCCACTCTTCTTGCTAGGATGTCTCCATTTTCTTCTACCCATTTTTCTTGATGCAATTGGACTGATGAAGCACTTTGGAGAGCCCCATCTAGTTGGCAAGGTCACTGCCAATGGCTCTTCAGAATGGAGGAGCCCCTCGGCTTTTCATTTAGGGACTATGGCACGGGGGCTGATAGTGGTGGCAGTAATCTGTTGTGGCTAGAGTTGGTCATTTGCATCCTGTTGTTTCTTGGGGCAGTAAAATCAAGGCACTGGATTCCAGCACCATGAGTGTGTACTCTTGGTCTAGCAGGAGAAATGCTCCGCAGTAGAGAACTTTAGTCCCATCAAAATGAGAAGTGGAGTTGCTCCCATTAGATCTAAACTACCCCCAACCCTCCCCATCCCACCCATAGTCATTGCTCTGATGCACTTTGCTTTCTTTGAGGCACCCTCTGCACATTGAGATATGTGCTGGGGCAGACAGAGCTCACTCTTCAGGAGGGTCATGATCCTCAGATGAAGGATCCTGGAGATGGCTATTTTGTTGTATAACAAGGAGGAGAATAGTGACGGGCCTGAGGTGAGTGTGTTGAGCTATCTGCACTTTCTTCACCATGGCTGTCCAAGGAGGGAGGGGCTGAAGCTGTCTCCCAGGCTCTCAGAAGTACAGAGGTCAGAGGAAGAAGAAATCACTCAAGGGTGAGGTCATAAGACCTGCTTAGCCTTGGCCAGGGCTGGGCCTGCTTTGAAAATTGCGCTTTTATCACTGTCATTGTTCCTTGGACTTTTGGCCTCAAAGTGAGGCTAGACTCCTTGCAGTGGCCTCCTCAGACCCTGTGTGTGCGTGTATACCAGGATGAGCCAATCCCAGAGTGTAGGACAGTGGCCAAGCCAGGCTAGGCTTCCTGGAGCAGACCCTGCTGCTGTCCTCCTTAGACACAAGGGCTGCTCTGCTGGGCCTAAGTCTTGTTAAACCCTAATGGCCAGCACTCTGGGAGGCCACAGCAGGAGGATCGCAGGTTCAAGACCAGCCTGGGCAAAGATCCTATCTCAAGGGCGGGAAAAGAACAAAAAGACCTAGCTCAGTACAAAGGTTCTGGATTCAATCCCCAGTACCTTTGAAGAAAAAGGGCCAGGGATTTAGCTCAGTGGTTCTGGCACCTTCCGTGCAAATGCAAGGTCCTGAGTTCGATCCCCAGTACCAAAAAAAAAAAAAAAGCCCTTAATGAGCCTTTTGCAAAAATGGATATCTGGGGATCTCTATACATTCAACTTGCCTATCGTGTGCTACCCCTGGTTGCACACACCCCTTTGCAGTGGCATGTGTCTGCGATTGCACCCAGAGTCACGTGGCATCTGGCATCAGCCAATAGGTTTCAAGCCGCAGCTCCTCTTTCTCCTGTGGGACGCTTTCAAGGGTGAAAAGATCTTATGTTTTCTGTCTCACGTGGTATAGGGCACAGCAGGCAGGTAATAGGTTCACTTCTTACTGTGCTTTTTTGCTGTTTTTTGTTTGTTTGTTTGTTTTTAAGGAATTGATCTGTATTTTCATAGGAGTAGCCAAGATTGTTGCCAAGAACCTGACACCAGAGCCACTGAAGGTGACTGGCATGAACCCACTGTGCCTGCTGTAGAGGACCCTGAATACAGGTCTATCGGTTCTCCCTGCAGGAAGCAGCCCATAGGGACGACTGTGGTTGCGAACTAAGATTCACATTGTAGTGCTTCTCCCCTCCTCTCCAGGCCTGCAGGGATTATTGCCTCCCAAAAATCTTTAAAAGCAACCACAATCTTGTCCAAGTGCAGGTCAGATTTCCCTGGTGGACTTGGCAAAGCCAGGGCCCATGTGCCGTGAGCAGAACCATCTCCCTGTGGTTCTTAGGCTACAGAAGGGGAAAGCCAGCAGACCCCATACCACATGGACTTCCGGTTCCTTTCAGATGGGACTTTTACTCTTGAGTGTCCATCGTCCACACCAGTGCTCTGAGTTCACTCTGCTGCATCAGCCTGAAGGCTTGAGGGTCTTCTCTAGGTCGGTGGCCCAGAGGCCCTGACCTCACTGGCTTTTTGGTATGAGGTACAGTTTGCAAGTGTCTTCTCCCTTCTATGGTTATCTTTTCACTTTCTTTTTTTTTTTTTTTTAATTTTTTTGGTACCAGGGATGGAACTCAGGCCCCTGTGTTTTTGAGGCAGGCGGCAGAACCACTGAACTAAATCCCCAGCCAATTTTCACTTTCTTTTTTTTCCTTAAATTCTTTTGTTGGTACATTTTAGGTATACAACACGTTTCCGTTTATCATTGGGAGCTTGTACCAGCACATGATGAACCTTGGT